TGTGATTAAATTGCCTTGCTCAAAATTTAAATTTTAAATCTTGGAATGTTATATTGATTTCAAAATTTTTCAAAAAAATTCTAGAGGTAGGTATTTATATTTATAAGGGACACGAATTCGAGATTTAATAAATTTGTAGACAAATTTATTAAATAGCGAATTTGTTCTAGCTATAGCTAGAACATTTTCCTCCCGTTGCAAAGAATAATCATACAAATTCCGTCAAATGTATGGGTCTTCAAAAGTTAGGCTCAACTAAAAAATTTCACCGAAATTCCAATTTCAAAATAAAACCGACGTTCTGGAAAGTTAATGTATATTATCTATTTATTTGAAATTAGTACAAAAAGATCTTTTCCAATTTTCCATCAAAAATACCGCGAATTTGCAGAATAATCCTTTCCAAAACAAAGTAGTAAACTCTTTCATTCTTTCGTACTACGACTAGTTAGTTAGTCGGCATTAGCTGCAGCTGCAGTGGGCATTAGTCGACAGCTAATGAAACTTTCGATAATGCCGACTAGTGAATTTACAGAAAAATGAGGATCCTAATTTACTTTCGTATCTTTAACAATCTTTAACTAAATGCCGATTTTAACAAAATTTCGTTCCCATTCATTGGAAATTATTGGAATATATATCGGAACCTCGGAAAATGCAGACTTCGGAAGTTGGTGGTGACACCCTCTTATACTCCCCTCACTACGTCCTTAATTAATAATTAATATAAAGTTTTTTTTTTATCTGGACTGCGGCAAAGTTGCAAATTTAGGGGTTTGGTTGGTAAATACGGAACCAAAATTGGTTGCATTGATTAAAACAAACTAAACTATAGTTATAGGTAAATGTAATAATAATGTAATGTAATTGTGGTTATGTTTAAATTACTGTGGGCTACATTGAACGATTGTCAAGTTGAGTGAGGTTGAGTTGTCGAAATTCGTAGTTAAAAATGCAATTAATTTGGCTTTGGTGGTGCTTGGATGAGTAAAATCATATAAAAATAGTTAAATATAGGTTTCTTTACGGCCCAGCAGAGAAAGTATTCCTAGCGGATAATAATATTCTAAAAGAATTTATATAATTGGTTAATGGGTTTTTTGTAGAAGTGTCTACAGACCATTCTTCACAAAGGCTTTCGATCCCGCACATGAGCTTTGGTTAATAGATGATCTACTGTCAGAAGTCAAAAAGTTTTGTTATCGTCCTGGTGGGTATTTTGTTTGTTATCATTGCGCTATTTTACCTATAATTTAAATAAATATAAATTATTTAATGTTCAAAATTTATAAAATGTATCTACCCTTACATATATTATATCTCTGCTGACCAATGGGGCGGGGGGGGGCAATGGAGCGGGGTCGGTTGGGTTGTGTTGTTGAGTTTGGGTTGGTTTTGGTTGGTTTCGCTCACTTTTGCCCATTTTAGTTGATTAACATTAGATCAGCTGATAAACCAAAGCGCATGTGCGGGATCGAAAGCCTTTGTGAAGTATGGTCTGTAGACAGGAAAATTAACTACCAGATTTTTCACAAAAAGGTTGAACCTAACAGCAAATAAGTTTTATTTTTTGTTTTTCCTTATTTTTTAAAATTTCAAAAAATGTTGATCTGCTTAGCAGAAAATAATGCGTGATTTAATATTTGTAAAACCAAAAACGTTACTTTTTTACTCCAAAAATGTCCATAAGGCGATGTACTTTTTCTTCCATTGTGGAATTTGGCATAATTTCATCAAAATGAAGTTTTGCTCTCAAAAGGGCTTTTACATTCGAATTCGTTGCTATTATTTTTGGCATAATTATCTTTTTATTTATAATTAACAAGTCAATTTGACAGTGTCAAAGTACCTATTTAATTAAATTCTTCAACAGAAGTACCATTTTTAAAATACTAAAAATACTAAGTCAAACTGGCATAAGTCACTGAAAATATTGTGTGATTTGATATTTGTAAAACTAAAAACGTTACTTTTTTTACTCCAAAAATGTCCATAGGGCGATGTACTATCTCTGCCATTGAGGCATTTGGCATAACTTCATCAAAAGTTTTGCCCTTAAAAGTTCGTTTACTTTAGAATCTAATATTATTTTGGCATGGTTATCTCTTTATCAGGGCCGGCCCGAAGTTTTTTGCCGCCCAGGGCGAAGATATTTTTGCCGCTTTCTTTTTATTCAGCAGGAAAAAGAAAAAAAGTATAGTATAATTATTATACCTGCTAGTACTAGATTTTTGCGTTTTCAGACATTTTATACTTCTAATTATCAAAATACCTTAGCAATGCATTGAATTTACAACACACGATCGTGATATAATATTTGTCAATTATTAATTGTCAATTGTCAAACACAAGTATGGAAAACTACAGGATGTGATTGAAGAACAAATGCAAGAGGGCACAGGGTTGTCTTTCGATAGCGCCTCTATTAAATCTTTGTAACAAAGATATCAATTTTTTTCTACTCCTATTACGGAATATGACCGTTCTAATATCACTTTTATCTATGGAATGACATATATTCCGTAGTGTTACAGAATGAAATATTCTATCATCGGATGACAGAATAAAAACTCGTGGTGACATCTCTGTTTTTAATATCAAACAAATTTTAGACCGATCCAACCTCACTTTCTTCCAATTAAATTATTTTTCTATGGTATTTTTTGGAAGCGCAGAAAAAAGTATAGTCTGAAACACGTTTGAAATTGCATATTCCTCTCTAGTGAAACCGTCAAACTCGCCTTCGGCTCGTATGACAAAATCTTCACTCGAGCGGAATATGCTGTATTCCATCCCAGATAGCACAAGATGTCCTGAGGACATCCGGTTTAAATCCTTTACAGACGGTCGCGACCAGAAAACCGATGGACGTACTGAGGCCTAGGCCGATGGACATCCTGAGGCCTAGGCCTCAGTACGTCCATCGGTTTTCTGCCTGCGACGAAAGTTGAAGATACAATTTGATATATCACCCTTTATAAAGGGTCTAAGTGAAAAAAAATTACACCTTGTTTTTTATTAAAAATACTCTTTAATAAAGCACGATAAAAGATTTTAAAAAAAGTTGTCCATTTTTTTTACTTATATAATTATAATTACGGCCCGCGTTATGTTACCCCGGTACCGTTTAGCCATGTTCTAACCGAAGTCGGCCAGAATACGGCATGCCGATGCAAAATCCTTCGGCTTGCCCTAGCCAGCCCGCTTACGGCTGGAATTCGGCCTGCCGCGGCATAATCGATACATCTCACGGCTGCTTACGCACGCGAGCTAACTATAAATAGCGATTGGTTGAAATATTTAGTTGGAAGTGTGTGTCCGCAATGGCATAGCTGAACATTAATTGTTTGGGGTCCCCATCTCCATTCTCATCTGCTCAGTAACGAATAATGTCTAGCTAGTCGAGTGTGTTAAAAAAGTATCTTGCGATTCAGAGAATTTCAGGACTGAACTTATAAGATATACCTCTCCAGGACGTCTGTAAACTTTTTTATTATAATAAAACTATGTCCTAATTCGGTCCTCATATGTCCCGAATTGGACAGCTTGGGGTCAAATACGGACGTCCTGAGGACATCTGAAACAGTCTATTTCGGAAGTCTGTGGACGTACTACGAACGTACTTTTGCAGACCCCGGACATCCTGAGGACGTTCGGGTTGTCCTGGGTGGAAGTCCTACGAACGTCCTACGAACGTACTTGTGCTATCTGGGATGTTACAGAATATACTATTCTAAACTGCTTTTCTCGAGCGTAATTCTTGAAAAAATCGCCAATCGAAAAAATGGTAGTACTTATGTTGAATGAAATTGATTATCATTAACACATCGTAAAAATGCCGCCCCCCCATTATGCCGCCCTGGGCGGTTGCCCGGTTCGCCCGTACCTCGGGCCGGCCCTGCTCTTTATATCAATATTATATAATAATTAACATGTAAATTATCAATAATAGATATTACTGTCAATTTGACAGTGTCAGGTCTTCAGCAGAAGTACCATTTTTTAAATACTAAATCAGCATAAGCTACCAACTTAATAAAAAATACGAGTCCAAATAAAAAAACTGTACCTATTTTATAAATGAACTTGTAGGTATTGTATTGTACTTGGCCATTATCATATTCATAAATATAAAACTTTTTATCAACTTATAAACAAACGCGAATAAAAATGGATAAAAATAGCACTCCTATTCCTATGTGTAATGTGTCTGGGAAAACAATGAAATTAAATGCAAAGATAATTTTTACGCAAATGTTGATAAATATAATAGGTAGCAACACCGATGTTAAATATATTTAAATAATAATCAACAGATATCAAAACACGCTCTATTGATTTTTTGCTGTAACATTTTCATTTTGCCACCAAAGGCAAATCAATGCACCACTGTATGCTTTCTAAACAACTGAACACCAGATATTTGCTTAACAGTGACCAAATTTTTTTATTATATAAATAACCAAATTTATGCAATATAAATAATTTAAATAAAGGAACATTTAAAAAATATATGTTATTGTTCTAAAACTACAGGTATACTGCCGATAAACTATAAATACCTATTTAACTGTAAACATAATACTTATATTCAACCATGTATTTAGATAAATTATCTGTAACAAATCGTCACCTGAGAATTATAGTGTTCTATCTGCATTTTCTTTTTTTTATTCAGGTTAGTCTTGTTTTAAGTATTAAAGATGCATATTGTTCTATCTATATATAATTGGGGTAGAAATTGTACAGTTTAAGCCTTAAACTTTACAATTTCTACCCCAATTATATATAGATAGATCAATATCATCTTTAAGACTTAAAACAAGACTAACCTGAATAAATAAAAGAAAATGTAGATAGAACACTATAATTCTCAGGTGACGAAATAACAAACGCGTCTCAATGATAATAAAATGCAATGTCAATATCATTTTTATTGTTTTAAAAAATTATTTAAGGTTTATCCTTGTACGAAATACAAATTTATAAGAGAAACTTGCCTGCGATGTAGAAAGATCGGTTGGTTGAGGCATGATTGATTATGAATTAATAGTAAGTCACATAAACACCATAAGTAACACAAAAAATCAAAACTAAACAAAACCACACACTTCTGCTGACACCGACATTGTACACCCTTCTCCACTGACTAAAACAAACTAACTATGATTCATGCGCTCACGCTCGAGCGAAATAATGCAAGCGAACATGCTATTTGTGGTGGGAGTTTTACCAGGAATAAACATTGTACTCACGATGGTGGGTTACACGTTCCACTGGAGTTTCTTCTCCCACTATCTTACATGTTCCAATCCACAGCATCATTTTAAATGTTTAATTTAATTTACAGCACAAATCGAAGTGGGTTAGAATTTTTGCTGAGAGATCGAACAGAGGCGTTTCAAGAAATTTGCTAATAACTATCTGTGTGACTTCATATATAGGTGTAGTATTTATATTGTATGTATCATTCGATTTGATACAACTGGCAAAAACCGTTAAAAAACAGTTTAAATCATAGAAAAAGGAAATATTTTTGTCAGCCTGACGAAGAAGAACTAGGTCCTACGGTATACACCCAAAAGTCCCACCACGTGACTTTTATACAAATAATTAATGTTTATTTTCTGTCAGTGTCAAGCTAATTTTATCATATTTTTTTTAAATAATGCAATATATGTATTTTTAGCTTATAAAGGTCTTAATCTAGAACACAAAAATACATAAATTGTTTTATTTTTAAAAAATAAGACGAAATTAGCTGGTCACTTAATAATTTGTATGTTGTAAGTCATGTGGTGGGACTTTTGTGTGCGGAGCATTGTACCTAAGTATTAAAAATGTAATTATAATAAGTATATAAATAGATAATAATTGTTGCCCCTTAACGATATTCGTTTATATTGTGAAAAAATTTAGGATGAGATTCCTTGTATGAAAATAAGAAAAACTTCATATAACTACTTTTCGGTGTTCGCGTATTGCAATTTTCGTAATAAAAAACAGATTTTTTATATTTAAAAACCCCGTAAAAACTTTGTGATAAAAATGTTTTTATTTTTAAAACTTTTTACATTTTGAGCGTGTATTTTTCACTTGATTCAAAAGTGTAAGATGGGATTTTAAAAATATGTACCTAAAATTTAGCGGTCCTAAATGAGTAAATTTATTTCTTGTTTTAGGTGATAAAATTCTTAAATTAGATACGTACCTACTTAACGAAAATAAGTACTGGAAAGCAACTTTTAGGTGCCAAAATGATTATTAAAATATTATAAAGTACACAACATTATAATATACAATGTATTATACATATTATGTAATGTTTATTATGTAATATAATTTATAATACAAAAAAACAACACACAAATTACAAAAAACAAACCTATTGTCTATTGGTATAAATTTGATGAGTTGATAATTTTTTCTGTAAATTTTAAAATTTTAAAATGTTTATCCAAAACTTGTTTAGTGACCTCGATCTACTATAAAGAAATAAAATAAATAAATTTTAAAACTTTGGAAATTTTGAATATTTTAAAAAACTTAAATGTTTTAAAAATTTCGAAGACATTTTTGTAAAGTTTGTAAATTTTAAAGATTTAGCGTCTAAGACCGTGACAAGTCGTGCGAGTGTTCTCCCAAAAAACCGTATACAATGAGACATTATGGAAACAAAACAAAAACATCGCTCGGGTATAATATTAATTAAAATGCTTAAGCATTTCAATAAGTGATGCTGTGCGAAAATAAAAACGTACATGACTTTTGAAGAAGAAAACTTAAGACTTAAGCGCCAAAAGGACTACAGATGAAAGATAAGTAGCAACATTAAATATTATAAAAGCTCTTACTATATAGGCTATAGACACAGTATAAAATATTTCGGTGTAAAGTTACCAAATGGAGTGGAAAATCATACACTAAAATTGGTCAAAAATTATAAGTGTTTATTTTACATTGTGGTAAAATTCATTCGTGTTAATTTAAATTCATTTAACACAGCACGGTGTCAATCCAGTGTTAATTTAAAGAAAAACTCGACGCGGTGTACAGGGTGTTTTTTGTATAAATGGAAAACCCCTATAAAATCTTTATTTAAAGTGATATCAAAAAAATTCAAAAACCAGCTTACATGGCTTAAAAAAACAATTCTTTTGACAAAAATAAAAAACCAAAAAAACATCGGCAAATTTAAAAAAATAGCATTGATATTGTTTTTTTGGATATTTAAATAGAGTTTTTTCTTCTGATTTCAAAAATATATAATTTATATATATTTATATTAACAATTTTGTTAATAATTGACCCGAAAATATTGCTAATTTGAACGCGAGGATCATAGTAGCCGTGGATAGAGAACTGTCATTTTCTTGTGATTTAACCTAGATTGAGTAAAATGAGGAATAGCGAAGACAAAAAACGAACAATTTTAGAATTTTTTTATAAAAATAATTGCAATTTTCGAATTGCAAGAAGGGAGTTTATTAGGCTACATCCTCATGCCATTAATATCCCCTCAAAAAATACGTTTATACGAATTGAACGAAAGTTTAGAGAGAATAAAGATTTAAAGGGAAAAAAAGGACAGCAAATTTAAACGAAGAGGAAGATTTAAATATTTTATTGTTTTTTCAAGGTAAATCTTATATTTTTAATTAATATAAAACTTAAATACATATTTTTTTTTTAAGAAAACCCTTCAAAATCTATAGAAGCTGCCAATTATTTTGAAAAATCTAAATATATAATTTTTAATTAAAAAAATATAAACTTAAACCATTTAAAGTAATGCCGGTAAACAAAATCACCGACGAGCAAAAAATAATAAGAGTTCAATATTGCCAGGAAATGCTAAATCGATTAAATCCCAGCAAACAGAGTGACGTCAGATGACGTGTTTCAGACGTCGTTTATTGGTGATCTTTCGTCATCGCCTTAAAGGTACCAGTTATGTCCGTCTTAATGACGTGATAACACGGTCTTATACACACGTCAACATCACGTCATTTAATGGACGTCATTTTAACGTATTTTATTAGTTATCAAACACCTGTCTTCTCATTTTTGTTACAAGTTACAAATTTAGGATCGTAAGTATACTTACGAGGTTAACAAATAATTATTTGTTTACAAAGGTATTTAAGTTGAACAGAAGATATGAATATAAAGTTCCTTTCTAGTTTATGTGTATAGGTATTTTAGTTATTAATTCATCATAATTAATATTTAATTATAATTTAATAATAATTATTAATTAATTAATAAACTTAATTTAATTTATTACCCAAATCTATGAGTTTCCGTATTAGGTATTAGAAAACAGTCTCAAAATGTTTATTTTCAAAAATAATGTTTCTTTGATACCTACTTTTAGTTCACTTAACTTAACTTCGCATAATCTTTGATACCAATAAAATAGGAATGTAATGGTAAGTATACACAGAATGAAATGACGCCCTTCATTCCGTTCATCACTCACGATTTGTGGAAACCATATACCTATTTATCAATAAATATATTTATAAATTATAATTTATTTATAAAAATAATATAATATATCTATAAATAAATATATAAACCATATATTAATAAATAAATATATGGTGCAAATCATCTTTTTCAATGGCACGTCAACGCGTTCCATTCTGTATCCACCTTAACTCTTTTTCACCATAACCTATATTATTTTTCCAAGCTTCAGTTGGCGCCAAAAAGCATTGTGTGAGTCTGTGATTGTGTGGTAGGTGTGTTTTGCTTCTAAAAAGTGAGTATTAAATCTTTTTATATTTTAGTAAAAAAGTAATACAGAGGTATCTACTAATAAATTATTAGTAATAATATTAATTGATGTGTTTCCAAGCACTACGTTAGCATATTTACGTCTTGAATCGTAACAAATATATTATTTTATTAGATACCCTGGTGATATTTTCTACCGTGTGCACATGTTTCGTTTTTTTTCTAGTTTTATTAGTTTGATGATCATGGCTTCTTTCATAGGGGTACAGTTTGAAGAAGAAGGCAATATTGCTTTAATAAGCAGCAATTGGCTAACCCCTAGAAAAACGGAAACATTTTGGCCCCCGTACAAAGGCCGCGATCGCTACACAAAAGCATTATTGAAACATTGTGCCCCTGAACCTGATTGGCCATTCTATAAAGTTAAACGTGTTTTTTTTAAATGCGGTAAGCTAATTATTTATTTACAAAGCGTTCGCCATCATTTATATACAACACATTTTTAGATAATTATGAAAAAGCAAATAACAAATTAAAAGAAGCTGAATTTACTTCGGATGTACAGTCAGAACAAGAAATAGAACAGAAATCCCGCCGCCGCCGACGTAAAACACCAAAAAGGCTTTACTCCACCAGTGAAGAAGACAATTCCGATAAAGAAAGTGTACGAAAACTCCAACGGCCACCTTTAATAGAATTCAACATATGCACAGATACAACGGATACAGGTAATTTTAAACATCATATAATTTTGTTCCTATTTTTAATATTCATATATTATAATATTATATATGAATATTAAATATATATATTATATAGGTATATATATATCGTCGTTTATCTGACAAAGAGGCGTAACTCAAAAAAATTCGTTTTTGAGTTATACCAGAATGATCACCAAAATCGACTTTATAATCTCACAAACTGGCGTAGCTCTATAATAAATAGGTACAAATAAAGTTTTAGCATAAAGCAGTTTCGGCGTAACTAATATTTTTGCTTTTTTTGTGCCGTACAAACTGGCGTAATTCAATTCACACCGTTTTGTTTAAAAATGAGATACGCCTCTTTGTCAGATAAACGACGATATATATATATATATATATATATGTGTATACCTGTATTATCTTTGTGTATACCTAGTTTGTTTTTTTTATTGAGAATCATTTGTTTTTATTAAATTGGTAGTTTATGCCAGTTTGATTTAGTGTTTTTACTAATTTAAAATGGTACTTTTCATCAAGGTTTTAATTAAATACTTTGACATTCTTGTCAAATTGGCAGAAATAATCAATAATTTAGATGAAAAAATATTTATTGTAATAATTAGGCCAAAAATCTTTAATAATATAAAAAGAAAAGAGTATAAGTAAAAAATAATTTTGAGGAAATTATCCAAATGCCTCAATGAAAGAAAAAGTTTATTGTCATTTTCAAAGTAAAAAAGTAACGTATTTGCAACAATATTTAGAATCTTAAAAAATAGGGAGGGAAAAATGAAAATTTTGGAAGAAGGATTAAAGATATTTCCTTTGAACAGTAATTTTTAATTATGAATTTTGACAACAGTATTTATAAACTTAACCTACAATAATTTTAATATAACCAAAATTACATTTTCCACTAGTTTAGTTCGTTTTACTCAATGTAACCAATTTTGGTTTCTTTGCCAACCAAACCCCTAAATTTGCAATGTTGCAGGAGTCTCAATAAAAAAAAGAACTCTATATCAAGGTTTTTTTGTTTATAGAAATACCAAACATAAGTTTAACACCTGCAAGACTAAGTGGAAGTTTAACACCTGCAAGACTAAGTGGAAGTTTAACACCTGCTGTCAGTTTAAGTGAATGTGATCCATTACCACCTATAAGCAGTAAGGAAGGTAACTAATAATAATAATAAACTTTATTGGAAAATCCTGCCCAGTTACAATCTTGTTATATAACATAATACTATATTACAATTTGTTCTGTGCTTTACTGAAATATATATTTTTAACAGTTCTTAGAAGTGCAAATTCCGCTGCCAGCTGTAGCAATAATGTAAGACAATTGCTATCAGGCAACAATAAACAAGGTGATTATTCTTTTGAGTATCTGCTGGACCTTTATTCAAGTTAAATTTTTTAGTACCAATAAGTGAAGAACTTGGTGGTCAAATTTTAACAGCTGTGTTTCATGTTGCTGAACAAAATAAAGAAATTTTATCTATTTTAAAAAGCCAGGGGTCTAGTGGGACTCCAAATCAGTTACCAGATGATTTGCCTGTTCAACTGCCTTTGATTACCCAAGAAGATGTAATTGAATTTGAAAAGTACATAACTAATAACATTAATAAAATTTTAGTGGTAGGATGCAGACATTAAGTAACTTAATAAATTCTACATATTACATTTCTAGGTGTCATATCTATCACGGTTGGGTGGAAAGGATCTTGTGGCAAAAGTTAATTCAATTTTAAAAAGATGCATAATTAACAAGTTGGCTTGTGGCTATAGTTTTTATGGAAAAAGGCAAAATAAACATTTCTTTGCCAATTTAAAGTTAAAAACTTTATTTGTTGGTAAGTACATAATTTGAAAATTGGTATTCTCCATTTAATGGTACTCTTTAATACCCACTAAGCTTAGATGGTTGTAGACAATCACATGTATAACAGATAATACATTATTTTTATATACCTATCATTACAGAAGCTGTTCAGAGTGAGTGTACTTCAACCGAAAAAGAAGTTGAGAATGCCATAAAAGTTTGGTTAAAGCACGCACCTCAAAGGTTACAACTGGAGCAGAAGAAGACAAATGAAAATGGAGGACTACAAAACAACTAAGGCAGTTGGATGAAGGCAAAGGTATAGACGTTTAGCAGTTTATAAAAAAAAAATCTTAAATTTTAACCAAAATTATACCCCTAATTCTAGTAACGACAGTTCTAAATTGATTGACAATAGTCTGTCACTGAAATCTGATTGTAGTTATAAAAATGTGGGCACTGAAAATCACTCAAAAAATCTTAATTATAATTTAAGTGGCGTAAATATTTTGTTGGCCCCTACTTCGTGTGATAGCGGGTTTTCCGATCATTTGTCCACAGGCTTTTTTGTTCCATCTGTAACAATTTCTAATAATTCATCAAGTCAGTTTGAAAAAGGAGTTTCTTTAACAGACAAGTTACGTTCTTGGGCTCTAACTACATCTGCAACTCAGTCAAGTGTTACAATTCTACTGCACTTGCTAAAAGATTATTACTCTGAACTTCCATTAGACTGCAGAACGCTATTAAGAACTCCCACATATATGAATGAAAAAATATTAGAAAGTGGTAAATACTGCCATTTGGGTCTTTCTGAAGGTATAGCACGTATTTTAAGGACATGTGATAAAATCGATTTCAATGTGTTGAGTGTTAGTTTTAATATTGATGGAATTCCTTTATTCCACAGCTCTGCTGTTCAACTATGGCCAATATTAGCACAAGTCAAAAATGTCTCTAGTAAACCTTTTGCTGTCGGTATTTTTTGTGACAAAACAAAACCAAAGCCATTGAATATTTTCCTAGAAAATTTAATTTATGAACTTAAACATCTACTAAGGGACGGTATTCAGTTTAAAAATAAAACCCTCAAGTTTGAAATTAACAGTTTTATTTGTGACGCTCCTGCACGAGCTTTTTTAAAATGTGTCAAGTCGCATGGGGGATCTTCTTCTTGTGAAAGATGCATTGATCCTGGAAGTTATATTGACGGAAGGGTTGTTTTACCATGCACTAGTGCATCTTTAAGAACAGACCAATCTTTCATCGAACAACTTGATGAAGATCATCATATTGGCACCAGTCCCTTGGTTGATCTTAAAATGAAATGGTAACAAAGTTTCCACTAGAATACATGCACAGCTGTTGTCTAGGTGTTACTCGTAAAATGCTCAACTACTGGACAGGTGGTCCCCTGAATGTTAGATTAAAAAGTTTGTCTGTTAAATCAATTTCGGCATATTTAGAGTCCATTAAAAGTTGGATTCCTGCTGAGTTCAATAGAAAGCCAAGATCTTTAGCGGAACTCGCTAGATGGAAGGCAACAGAGTTCCGTACTTTTCTTTTGTATGTAGGACCTATTGTTTTAAAAGAGTATGTTCCCATAGCAATTTATGAACATTTCTTATTGTTTAGCTGTGCTATCACAATTTTGATTTCGGATGTGCACTTTTCAGCTATAGGAACTGAATTTGTTAAAAAAATTTTACAGGTTTTTGTAAACCACGGTTCCGCCATCTATGGTAAAACATTTTCTATTTATAATGTTCACAGTCTGTTACACTTATGTGATGACGTCGACAAATTTGGAGTTCTCGACAAATTTTCGGCATTTCCTTTTGAAAGTTATCTCGGCCGACTAAAAGCAATGGTCAAATCTAGTGTTAATCCCCTTAGGGAAGTTTACAATCGCGTTGTTGAACAAGATAGTATTTCCTATAAAAAAAATAACAAAGAGGAAGAACGTAATCTTCTGATTGAACACTGCATGGGGCCTTTGTTACAAACATACGCAGTAAATCATTGCAGACAATTTAAAAAATTGAAGCTAGCAATGTATACACTAACAACTTATTCCTACTCAAAGTCAGATTGTCACTGTTCAATAAACAATAAAACTGTTCAAATTCATAATATAATATCTGTTGATAATAAAATATATTTAATAGGCAAAGAATTTAGTCACCATACCTCACTTTACGTTTATCCTATGCCTTCAGAAATTCTTAGTATTTATGCAGTGTCAAATTTGTCAAAAAATTTAAAATGTTGGGACCTTAAGACTGTAAATTTTAAATGTTTTGTAATTCCAAATGTTAATAAAGAAAATGAGTGGGTGTCAGTGCCTATAATTCATTCGTTAGAAAACTAAATACATAATTGTATTTATGTTAGGATTGTAGAACTACATATTTATGTTGGGATTTATATACATAATTATTGCAACAACTGTAAAAAAATCTAACTCTAAAACGACTTTATTAACCTTTATGAAATTTTGGATAAAAATACTTCAACTTATATCTCAGTTTACTTGTTCAAGGGTTTTTCAAGAAAATTTTTTTAAAGCCTTTTTATTTAATAATGAAAAAACCTTCGAAAAATAAATTTTGTTTTAAGTAAATAAAAAGTATGCTGTTAAAGACCATATTTTTGTTATTATACCCTGAAAATTTTGTACAAATCAAATAAACAGGTACGAAGATAAAGCGATTAAAGTCGTCAAAAATAATCAAAACAACGCCATTTTTACCGACTTTGAAGCGCTGTATCTTCGTTACTGTTCGTTTTATTTGTACAAAATTTTCAGGGTATACTAACAAAAATACGATCTTTAACAGAATAATTTTTATTTACTTAAAACAAAATTTTCCTAAAAGTTATTTTCGGAAAGTTTTTTTATTATTAAATAAAAGGGCTTTAAAAATATTTTCTCGAAAACGTAAACTGAGATATAAGTTGAAGTATTTTTATCCAAAATTTCATAAAGATTAAAGGCGTTTTAGAGTTAGATTTTTTTACAGTTGTTGCAATAATTAAGGCTTATACTGTATGTACCTTTTATGTTTGTTAAATAAAAGAATTTATGTTTTGTTTTTAAAGTCGATAATAATTAAAATTATTATTTTTATACTGCTTTAATGCCACCCAAGGGCCTAAGCCAATTTAGAAATTTTTAAGATAAGCCCCTTTGTAAGGAAGGCGACGATATGTACCTATTATTTTTGTGCAATAGGAGAATTTATGTTTCGTTTTTAATAATAATTCTAAAAATAAATATATTGGTTTTATTTCATCAGACCACCATAAAACGTTAAAAAGACGTGACAAGTACGGCCCTATTAAAGTACAATTTACGTCATAAGATGACGTAAGTTATCATTATTTTTTGACGTCAATGGGCCGTAACAAAGTGACGTGATAAATACGTCGTTTTTCAGTCATTCTCTGACGTCATTACGTCATAATATGACGTTAGTTAACGTCATTTTTTTGACGTCAGTGGGCTGTGACATTTTGCCCTAAAAGTGACGTGTTAAACACGTCGTTTTTCAGTCATTCACTGACGTCATTACGTCGATAGATGACCAGATTTTGACGTAATATTGACGTCAATTTGTTTGCTGGGATCATGATCCAAATTTTTTTTTAAATATCTTATGGACCGATGAATCTACTTTTACAACAGCCGGGGTTTATATTAGGAAAAATACTCACTTTTGGGCAAATGAAAATCCCAGATGTGTAAGAGAAATAAAAATTCAAGGCAGAACTTCTGTAAATGTGTGGTGCGGCATCCTTAATAATAAAATTATTGGTCCTATTTTTTTTGAAGGTGCCTTAAATAGCGCACGCTATCTTAATTTTTTAAGAAATGAAATTAAACTTTTGCTTAAAGAATTACCTTTGATAGATTATTTTAATATTGTATGGCATCAAGCAAGATGGGGCCCCCTGTCATAATACTGAGCCAGTGACAAATTTTTTAAGCAATAAATATAACCTTTGGATTGACAGACGAGGCACGATTCGATGGCCTGCAAATAGTCCCGATTTAACCCACCTAGATTTTTTTATGGGGATATTTGAAAAATATTGTTTATTCGGAAAGATGTAGAAGATTTAAAAGAAAAAATTTCAACAAATATTATGCTGTTAAACAATGTAAACCATAATTTTATTGAGAATTCCATAAAAAAATATCTTCTAATCTTAGAAAATGTATTGACCAAAATGGAGGTCATATTCAACATTTATGAATAAAATCTTTACTTTTATTACTTTGTTCTATTTGTTTAATAAAAATCCTAAATGTTTTTTCTTTATTAAAATCAAAGTCATTTTATTAAAACTAGAAAATGGCAGTTCACTATCCATGGCTACTATGATTCTCGTGTTCAAATTAGCAATATTTTCGGGTCAATTATTAACAAAACTGTTAATATAAATATATACCTATAAATGATATATTTTTAAAATAAGAAGAAAAAACTCTATTCAAATAATATAAAGGGGGTTCCATTGAAAAAACATTATCAATGATTTTTTTAAATTTTCCGATGTTTTTTTGTTTTGTTATTTCCATCAAAATAATAACTTTTTTAAGCCATGCAAGCTGGTTTTTGAATTTTTTTGATATCACTTTAAATATAGTATATAACACTACAAGGGCAGAAAGTGTGAGATTCCTGCACTGCGCGCCATGATGCCCGAGGCGCGCAGTTCAGGGCTCTCACACTTTCTGCCCGTGTAGTGTATACTATTTTTCTTACTACCTTGGCCGAAAATACAACCCGGCCGAAAACACGGGAAAAAATTAAATGTGTATATCGAAACATATTGATGCCTGCCCAAATTTTGAGGTTATATTAGTGTCGTAATCAGAGTTGCATATGTTGAGCACACGACTAAAAAATTTTTACTGCCGCTATTATAGAGTGTGCGCGTATAGCTTGACCAATGCAAGAAACGTAAACTTTCTGCCGTGGAATCGGGGAAGAAACAACGTATTTTCAGTGGGGCGCAAAATCAAAGGGTCAATCAGTACTTTGTAACGATAAACTTTTTTGCAAATAAACAAATACTTAAAATTACATAGGATAAAGGTTACCGCCTTTAATAATAATAATAGTTTTATTGCCATAAGATCATTACAATGATATCGACAACGGTAAGAGATTACACTAAATTAATAATATACCTACATAATATATTATATAATAGTAAAATTAACATTAAAATACATTATTTAAAACAAACAAATTAAAAGTTTATATATTTATTAAAAGAGTAAAAACAGTTTTGGAGAAGCAAATCTTTTACAGCATATTTATATTTTGTAATTAATGGGATGTCCTTAATTTCATTTAGTAACTTATTTGCGTCGGCCGCATTAAAGCCTTATGCCGCTCTTTTTTCGGCCGCTATAAAGCGCGTTTTTATATGAGTATCAAAATAAAAGGACGAAATTGTCATAATATTTTTAGTATTCGTTTGATAGTTCTGTGGGTAAAAGGCATAAGGGGATAAGTCACAAAAAGCAATTTTTCAGTAGAGCCTTAAACGTATTCGCATTAATTTAGGAAACATTTATGGTTAGAGGGTATACCCTTTTGTTAGCCCACTTCATATGCTAACAAAAGCGTATACTATCGCTAACAAAAAAAACTCATACAGCTATATTGTGGCTGTGTGAATAAAACTTTTCCGTCAATGTCAAGCTGACATCGAGCTTTGTCACATCCATTATGACTTTTTTAACAACATTTTCAACCAAACAATGCAGACGAACTCTGGAAAGCCATTGAAGCCCTTTGGAACGAGATAAAGCAAGACGGCGACTTCCATGCTTTGCCGTTTGCGGGCAGTAATTGACAAAAACAGAGGGATGACGAAATATTATTTTTTTTTCAAACTTCAACCTAACTTTGTATTTAATTTTAGACCCTTCAAATGTGACGTATCATGTTAAAAGCCATAATTACTCCAACGAAATGATAGAAAATCAGAAACACTAGATTTTTAAGCTGTATGAGTTTTTTTTGTTAGCGATAGTACACGCTAAACATAAATATATTTCCTGAATTAATGCGAACACATTAAAGGCTTTATTGAAAAATTGCTTCTTTTGACTTATCCCCTTATGCCTTTTACCCACAGAGTTGCAGTTGACGGTAGCAAAGTTTAACAGTGTACAAAGTATACACTTTGTAACGAGCTTGCGTCACTAAAAACCAGTATTATATTGTTTAATAGGTTATTTTTGTTTTATTTAGGGCATTTTTATTACTAAATATTGTTTATGATTTTGTTTATTTCGGGGTATTTCAATTGT